CTCCCCCCGAGGCAGAGGTGACAAACGGAAGGTGAGAATGGAGCACTGAATAGCTAATGGCATAATGATGTTTACTGTTGCTGTAAACCATCCCCTGTGTAAACGCCTTCACGTTTTATTTGCTTTTACGATGTTGCTCAGCTGACTCTTAACTGTCCTGCTCAGGGTGTTTCGTGGCTTCTTTCCTTCTGAGGTTTTTGCAACCGAGTCAGACTCCGCTGGCACGGACAAGCGATCGAAGGCTTTCTTCCACCGTGCCTTAACGCGCGCTGTGCGCGCACCGTCTGCCACCCACCATCGTCTTGTCCAGACCTTGCCATTCTCCGTCTTCCTCCCTCCAGGTGGTTATCAATAGAACCGAACTCCAGGCACCCAAGTGGATGCTTTTGAGCCACTCCACAGCGAACGCTTTCCCGTTTTGCAATTTGGTCGCTTTTGTTTCAATTCTGTTTTTAATTTCTTAACTTAACCAGTTTTCATTTCAGAGTAGGTTTCAAACTTTATTAAAGTCTCCTTAAGAGCCGTTTGCAGAGCGACCCGGTCCCGTGTGTCTCGGGGTAAATGAACATGCATGCAGTTTTCTTTTCTTCTACGGTAATGTGCTAATGCTTTCAGTGAATTTTGGAATGCCAAAAGGAAGAATTTGTCTCGATGCTTGATCGACCCCATTACGTTTATGTCGGTGCCTGCTAACGTTCGTGACTGTCCTTTTCCCGGGAACTGGATTGTTATCCGCCTGTCATCTTAGGGATCGCCCCAGGACCGGCTTCCAAAGCGCGCGCACGTGCGCCCTGCCATTTCAGGCTCCGAAGTAGTGGCCGTTCATAACAAACAGCGGTTTTGTTGTTTGCTCTTCCGCTGCGAGCGTTGCAACTTGTTTGTGAATTTTCTGTAGCCGCTGGGCTTCTAGGCTCTCCTCCACAAGCCGCCTTCTAGCTTTTTCACAGTAAAAATAAGAAGGGGGAGGTGGGTGGTTCTTGAAGTCAGAAACGGCTGTCAGCAAGTCTCCTGTCCGAGCTGATTTCAAGGGTAGCTATGGGCTAGCTGCTGCTGTTGGGTGGCCCGGGTTTGGTAGTGGCCCCAGCAGGGTTTCTGCCTCGCTGATGAGTCGGTGACGCCCAGGAGCTGCTCAGCACCCTCACGGCTACAGCCGGGTGGCGCTTCGTGAGTCCGTGTCTCCAGCCGTGAGAATCACTCTTGAAGTCCTCCTACAGGTTTGCTTTGAACATGGAGACGAAGGGACGATGGTCTTCCAGGAAGGGAGGACCTCCTGCCGCGACGTTTTCCCAGCCGTTTCTCCCCAGTAACCTTCCATCAGAGCTAAACCGTTGCCCTGGGGATCGGCGCTGCCCTTTGTGAGGGTGCTGCTCTACGGTGAGCCGCAACTGCGTTGGGAAATGATGAGACGCACGCAAAAGATGCATTGACCGGCAGCTCTTTATTTCCTTTGCAAGCAGGACTGTGGGTTGCTTTTTTATCAGCCTAGCAGAAGTACCTCGGGATCAGGAGCGCTTGGCTGTCCTACTTTTTTCTCGCACCTTTGTTGTCAACGACGGAGGGTCTAAAACTCGAAGCCGGCTGACATTCTGTTGGCAAAACCCCGGGGGGGGGGCTCCATCGCCTCCTTGACGCCTTTCTCTATTGGCTTTGAATTGCTGAAGAGGCTAGAAATGTCACGAAAATGTAACATTGGTTGCTGATTCCAGCAGTTACTGCTCACGATTATGTAGGAAGAAGATTAATTAATGCCGATAAGAGACATTTTTATACTCTTCCCCAACACCGATCTAACGCTGAATCTTCTTGACGTGCGTCTTCACGTCTCCTGCCCACAAGTTGAGCGTGCTTCTCCCAGAAAGAACAGCTGAGGCTTCGCCTCCCTCCTTTGTGCAGAAACGTGCACGTGTATGTTTTCCAGCCAGCAACCAGGCAGTATGAAGCTGCAGAGACTTTTGCTCTTCAATAGTTAAGGGACTTTGTAGCTGGGTAGAAATTAGGTTGAATTAACATAATCTCTAGAATTACACAGCATAGTAGTGTTGAAACACTTTTTAAAGCCTCAAGAGACAATTGATACCTTCATTCCCATCATCACCAAAACCCTGAAGTGCTCTTCTAGTGTGACAGAAGTGCTTTGGTAGCAGACAGGGAGTTTCTTGTCTTCGCCGGCAGGCTGGGTGCGAGTCGTCTGCCAGCCAGCTGGGTCGAAAACCGTTCCTTAGGATGAGGGGGACCCGAAATCTATTTTATTTTGCCTTTTTGCCCCTGTTTCTTGTATAATACTGGCCTAGTTCGTGTCCCCTGAAACCACAGACTAGTCCTGAAAAACAACTGTCTTGTTTTAATTTTAAAAAAGTTTTAAAAAGGGAAGAGACCCCCGCGCTGAAGCAGTTTCTCTGTCCAAAGCCCGTGCTGTAGGTGTGCTGTCATCTTTAGTAGCTGCCCGTAGGAAATGGTATCCTCGGCAGCAGTCCTTCTGAGTTACTGGAGATAACCTGTTCTGGATTCATTTTCCCCTACTAAAGCTATCCGACAGAGCAATCTCAAAGGGCTGCGTTTGCTGCCCCGCGTGCGTGGTAGGTTGCTCCTTGTGTGCAGGTTCTGATGACAGACCTCTTTTTTACTTGCTTACATGCAGCATTTCTACTCTAAATGTAGTCGGACATGACGTGGAAATGCAACCCTGTCCCAAAGAGTTTATCTTTTGGGCGACGATAGACGCCGCTCAGCAAATACGAGCCAGAGCAGTAGGTACAGCAAATGGGAGAGGACAGGTAATGGAAGTGCAGGCGTATGACGGAGCGTGGCCCTTGCCCCCCACGCTGGCGGGGTGCAGTGTGCTCCCAGTCCCTCTCCAAACCCACCGAAGCCCGTGCCTGGGGCGAAGGGTCCCTTTGTCGGCCCCTCTTGCTTGACACATCCAAATCCTGTATCGCCGCTGCTGTAGGCTTGACCTACAAAGGCACGCTGAGCCGATAAAGCGGTGTTACGGCAGGGAGGTTTTGGGGGAAGATCTCTGAAAAGCTAACCTGCTGCTTTTTTCCAGGAGAAGGAAAAGCTGAGCAGTGGTAAAGTTTCCAAAGCGGCACGACCTTTAAAGCTTTTCCTCTGTCGCTGTTGCTTTGCTTCAGTGTAGGTGCTTGAAAAGATTTGCTGCGTGACAGTTTGATCTTTTTCGTATATCCTCCAACTGCATTGATATTCCGACCATCCTTTGGTGTTTCAGCTGTTATCGCTGGCAAGCCCTTTTTTATCAGTTCAAATTGTCCTTGTGGCTTTGTTCATTAAGATGTACAATACGATACAGCAGAGCAAACTGCATAATTTGAATTACCCCTAGAGTCGTTCCTTGAAATACTGGTTTTGGACAGCTGTTGTTTCCTGGGAGATAAAGGTTCTTAATAATAGCAAAGCCCTCATCTTTGGGCACAGTGCAGAGCGGAGCGTCTTAGCCTGCCTTTTCAAGCGTCATTTTGCTGCCTTCTGGTCTTGCTTAGCACATACACCTCCGCACCCCGGGATCTGCAGTACTATTGGTACGTGCAAATTTGCATTTATCACACTTTCTCTGCAGATGGATCACGCAGGTGTCTTGGCAACAGTTTCGGTGGAGACCTGGGGGTGCGACACGCGTGCACGTTACCGGGATTTCAAGCCTTGCGGTGGAGGCTGCTGATTCTGCAAAGCCCCCACCGTCCATCTTGCAAGAGTATTAATGGCAAGCCGGCAGACTATCATAGAATGGTAGAACGCTTTGGGTTGGAAGGGACCTCTAAAGGTCATCTAGTCAGATTCCACTGTGGCCTCTCTTTACTGCCATTTCGGACCGCATTTTAAACGCCACGGATCCCGTAGAGTATACGGTGGGGGGGTGTGTGGTGCTGGACGAGGGCAGAGGGCTTTGCGTCTGCTTGGCAAAGGCTGGCTACATGCCAGCTCTGGGCGCGCCGTTGAAAACCCACATTTTTTGTGTCATCTTGGCTACCTAAGACATCATACCGCATGGAAATCGGAAGTCTTTGAGAAGAAATAGCGTAGCAGGTTTTCAAAGCGTGAACTCACGTGCCAGAGAACTTCCTCAAAATGAGGAAAATGATGATTTTTATCCTCGGTAGAAGTCTGTTTTTCTCTCATTGCAGCCGGTTGTGTGAAAACCTACAGTTGCATGGG